GGTGATGCACGAGTGTTTTAAGCCCCTAAAGGAATCTTTGACTAGCAGAGATCTCGTGGAAGATGTTATATTCAGCAAATGGTCAGAAATTTTTATCCTTCAAGATATGATCATTAATGTGCCCGTTCCCAAAGTGGAACGGCCTGTTCTGAGTTCGCATTTTTCACATAAAATTCATTTTTGGAATGGGCCGTTCTGGGTTCCACTGGAAGCGAAAATATCCCAGCATAATCGATTATGCAAGGCCATAATCAATTATGTGGCCAACCATAATCGATTATGGCATTGCATAATCGATTATGCTCAGCCATAATCGATTATGCAAGGCCATAATCGATTATGCTTCCTTCGTATAATCGATTATGCATGCATGGGACAGGGGCATTTCCGGGTTTTCACAAATCCTATGTGGCTTTCTTCTCCTTTCTTCGTTTTTGTGCGAGGACGCGAACCACGCTTCTCCCCCTCTTTTCTTCGCCTTTCCGTCATCGCAAATCACTGGAAACAAACAACAATTTTATTCGCCTTTCCTTGCTCGTGAACAGTAAATCCCTGGAAACAAACACTACCTAAGGGTTTGTAAGGATCAATCAAGTGTGTTACGTCACCTTGTTTCCGGTTTTCAAATGTAGTGATTAAATAGTTGGAAAATGTTTTTAAAAAATGATTCTTCTTTATGTGTATATAAATATTCTAGTTAACCCTAGTGTTAAGATTCTTAAAACGATTATTAGATCTTGGAATCGGATTTTAATCGAGTTGTTTTATCGATGCTTTATGAATGAAAATGAGTAATTATGGAAGTGACAAGTTAAATTAAATTAAATTAAAAAAAGTTTTTTAATGATAAAAAAAATTTCTTCAAAATATATATAAGTTAATTAAAAATGATAGATATTTTATCATATCAAATTAGAAATAAATTAAAGAGATAAAAGCTTTAAAAATAGTAAAAATTATGTTTAAATAAATTATTTAAATTAGGATATATTTAACTTTATGATATGGTCTGATGATATTTAAAATAGAAATAAGATTAAATAAAATCATAATAATTCTAAAACATAAGATTAATTTATAACTTATTTAGATTGTGTTAAAAAGTATGTTGTCATAATAAGATGTAATATAATTAATAAATAATTGAGTATCTTAATCATATGGACATTGTTTAATTACCTGACTATATGTTCATGTTAAACTTTAATTATATAGAAAGACAAAACTCACATCAGTATATAAAAAATGTATTTCTAACACTTCTTATGTGATGCCCCATAAACCATTTCTTACTTTCCCTTCTTCATTCCTTTTTTTTCAAAACTTTTTCATTTTTGTTACATTTTCCTTTTCTCAAGGTTGAACCATTGTGGAGTAGGAAAAGACTGAAGTGATCCATTGTAGGAAAGATTATTGCTTGTTTCATTTTCTTCTTCCTCTGTTCGTCCGTGGTAGCGTAGAAGCTCTTATTCTTCACTTCTTGTCTTGCTCAAAGCTTCATTTGAGGTTAGGGAAGTTTGCAAATTCAGTTGGTGTTGATTGAATGCATGTAGTTGGAGGTGTGGGTATTGTGTGTGGATTGATTTGAGTTGTTGTAGAGTAGGGAAAAATAC